CATTTCTGACCACCTAACAAGTATTGTAGAAACATATTGTTTCCTTTCATCATTAGACTTGCACCGTCGTCACTCTTCGACATTCTGTCAATGTTCTTCAAGATCACGTTCTTGAAACCAATAGATTATATCATTGAACCCACTAAATTACTACCAGTATTTGCTTTTTTATAGCATCTATGGTATGCGGATAATACTGATATGTGACCACAAATCTTTCTTGCTGCTGGTATATCATTAGAATAGCATATTACTACTAATCGAACATTTTTTTCAGTAGGATGATTATATGTGGCTGACAGCCTAATCCTATTTCAGAATTCTAACAGTTCATCAATGATCGGGAAGAGATAATGGTTAATTCTATGCAGTTTGACTTCACTTGATCCCGGTAGTAATCCTAGATATAATATATTCTCTTGTTTAAATTTAATTTCTCGAGGAAGATTATATATTACTCCGTAAATCACGCTGCTACTGTATGCTAATGATTCGAATAGTTGAAATCAATCGAGATTAATAATAATTTCTAAATGAAGATCGGTTGTTTCCAGTGTGAAAAATCAAGAATCACTTGTATCAAGTTGTGAATGGAAATTTTTCCAAATTTCGCCATCATAAATATCTGATATTAAGCTGATTCTAGTATTCCGATTTGTCTATTTTCTCAGAAGAGATTCAAAACCTGAATGCTGATACATTGCAATTATTTGTGATCTTAAAGATAGTAAAAGAAAAACGATCTTAGGTCTTATGATATAGCCTTTTACTACTGGCATATATTTGACCAACTCGGCTTTACATGGCTGTCTCCTGCTATGTTTTGGGTGATTTAGAAATTCCATATGGGTGCATTTGAATCTAGAGTTTGACTGATCAGTCGCATTTTTTGTCAAGATTTCTGAGATTTTATATAAAGCATTACATTTTGGACATACTGCGTATGTCTTTTCTTGTCTTTTGATTTCTAACAATTTTCTTACCATATGGGAACTTGTTGGGAAACCTTTAAATCATGACTGATCAGTTTCTAACAAAACTATCCTAAAAAATCTAATAAGTGTGTCAATAGCAGTATCTGGAAGGCGGAATCTTGATTGATACTTGAATATCCATAATACTATCCATGAATCATTGAAATTAATGTTTATATTAGAATATCTATATTTTAAATCAGAATCAAAATCGTCAAAATCAGAAGTAGTAAATTACTCAAACGGAATATTGTCTTCACTGTCTTCACTCAAAGCATGATCATCTTCCTCTATAGAGGACTCTTCATCATTAATCAGAATTTCATAATCTTCCCTATCGTCTGATAGATCTGAAATAATTTCTGGATCATCATGATCAAGAATATTATATTTTGTCACGTAACATTTTTGTTTATTTAGTACATCGATTAAATTTTGATCTGTTAGAACGGTTGGAGTTGGTTCATCATCACTAGGTGTATCTTCATATGAACTGTGATTTTGTTCAACTAGTTTAATTACATTTTTTTTTTGAAGCTGATACTGTTTCAGTTATAACAGAATTATTTTTAATGCTTTTTGAGGTTGAAGAATAACGCTGTCCAGAAGTAATGTATCGAAATCGTTCTATTTCTTGTTGATGTCTGTCAAATGTTCTAAGATCTATCCATCTACTACCATGACAATGTAATGTACATTTGCATTCAACTAAATTTCTAGTTTTAGTATCAGTATGAATAGCTTTTGAACGATCCTTATTAATATGATGTTTTTTTGGTTTTAGCATTTTTTTGATAAAAAATTCAATTTAGGAAGAAATAAATATTTATAATATTTAGCTATTTCCAATCAGTATATATATATAGATTTTATTTGAATCAAGTATATAAATATTAGTAAAATACTTTATTTAAATCAATCAGTATATGATATCAATAAAATATATTCGCATAAAAATACTTTATTTAAATCAATCAGTATATGATATCAATAAAATATCTTCATATAAAATACTTTATTTAAATTACTAAGTATATGATATCAATAAAATATGCTCACATGCGGCTAATGCTGATTTTATGATTGATCTTGAAGGTAAAATTTAATATATTAGGTTTGAATTTATTTCAGTTTTATTGTGCTTTTTGTAAAATTATCATTTGCATGAAAAGCTTAAAGTTTATTTGAATCACGAAAATTTCATTATCCGTTAGAATAAAATTTGCGATAAAATAAAAGTCCAAATGTTACCAATCAGTCAGATAGATTTATCAATCCATCCTATCTATTACTATCATAAGAAAATTTATTTTCAATGACTATTATTTCAACAATCGCAAACAAAATTTCCTGATTTAAAGAATTATATTACAATGACTAATAGTACTTTATCAAAATTTCATTGAAAGTTTGCTTTCAATGACTACTAGTATTTTATAACCAACATGTCTGATTCATTAAAAGTTTGTTTCCAATGATTACTAATACTTTTACAACCAAAATTTCTGATTTATTACTAATATAAAGAAAGTTTATTCTAATGACTGTATTGTTCTATGATTAAAAATTTGATATCGATACTCTTTTGAAAACATATAAAAAGACCCTATGTTCTCTTTTTTTATTAAAAGTTTCTTCTAAACAAAAGAAAAATCTTCCAAAACATGCCTAACAAAAAATCCAATAAATGTCTTTTATCTGATAAAGAGTCTTCTGATGGAGATAAACGTAAAAGGATTTTATCGATTTTAGTAAATAAAAAAAAGGTGGTTCTTTGAAGAAACCTATTCCAAAGAAACAATACAGAAGTAGTGAAAAACTGTATGTTTAATTATGAATCGATTATTTTTAATATTTTCTCTTCATTTATTACTATTTACTTTTAGTTTCTTCTATTTTCTTCTATTCTAGTGATTCTGAAACTAATTCTGAGAAGTTTCGTGAAGAAAAATCATATCAATCGAAACAAAAGAAAAAAAACAGTTTGATCGATGTAGTTCAAGGAAAAAGAAAAGATAAAAAGATAGGGAAAGAGAAAGAAGGAGAGAAAGAGAAAGAGAAAGAAAAATCAATTGGTATGATTGTTTATTGTATAATACATGTATTATTAATTAGATCATAATACATATGGCTATTCTGATTATATTTTCAAATAATAGATGCTTTACAGGTCCAAGTAGATGAAATTAAAAGTTTGATAATGATCATTGCAAGAGGAAAACAAAAGAAAATAGACCCAAAAGACATAATAATTGATTGGATAAATGATGAAGTAAATTTTTCCACATTAACCCTCAATATAGATAGCTTAGCTCTTTGAAAAACATGGCTGAAAAGGCTTATTCGTCAAAGTCAGTTTATATTATAGATTCTGCCTCTGAACAATATGATGATAGAGGTAAAAGCTAGAAAAGAACATTTGATAATAGGCCTCAATTGGAAAATCACAAACATGAAAAAGACAACTCAAACTTAAAAAAAATCTTTTCAATCGGGATCAGAAAAAGACCAACTGAAACTCATCATCATCCCAATTATCTCATTCTCCTCCTGCTCCTTCCTCTTATACTTATCTCTTTTATAATGAAATGGATAAGTAATTAAGGAATGCGTTAAGGGTAATCTTTTCTTTATTTTCATTTGTTTTATACTTATTAATATTTTTTGGCTAATAGTTAATGTATTTTTGTGATTAAGTCTGAAATATTAGGGATTATAGACAGACTACCAGAAAGTCAAAGAGTGACGACGGTGCAAGTCTAATGATGAAAGGAAACAATATGTTTCTACAATACTTGTTAGGTGGTCAGAAATG